ATGTAAATAACCCTTTTTTATACATCTAAGTTGGATCCCTCAGAAGGCCCAGTAGTTTATTTCTGGAAATATTATGAGTATCACCAAGAATATAAATATTTTTTGTCCTTTATCATGATTATGTATTTTGTTGGGTGTTTATTCCTTGATTGTTTGACTCATTTGTTCAGAATGAGTTAAACTGTTCTTTGTTTGGTATCTAACATGTGATACCCTCTTAATTTCACCTTGTATCATTGGGTCCTTTTTCCACTGTTAATGTTCAAGTAGCCATATGGGTTGACTTTGTCTATACCCTTCAGCATGTTAAATCCAGTGCCTTCCAAAGAGTGATGGAAAGGTTACTGTCTGATGAAAGAGGGAAACTGCAGATGCTCCAAAGAACACCATCTCATCTGTGAAGCATAATGGAGGTAAAGTCATAGGCTGAGAATACATTACCACCTTTGTAACCGACTCATTTGTCTTTGAGGATGATGTTGCTGATAATGACAGTGGCAGAATGAATTTACCGTACGTAAACGGTTGATCTACTTATGTAAAAGAAAATAATTCCGTGTTTATTAGGTGACACTTCACCTTGCAGTAGGACAATGACCAAAAATATAGCCACTGCAATCTTAGTCTAACCAAATCTCCAGATTTAAATCCAAATGAGCATGCATATTACATGCTGAAGAAAAACTGAAGTCAGAAAACACAAGACTAGGCAAGAACTCAAAATGGCTATAACAAAGACTTCACAAAGCAACTTAAATGATTACACAAAGTGTTTGGTTAGCTTCAGTTAGCTCAATCGGTCACAGACTTCATGAAGTAATTGCCTCAAAGGCATAAGAAACCAAATACTGACCTGAATTTACTTTGAAAGAATGTGTTCCAATACTTAAGGTCACTCAAAATCGCTAGAGATAGTGATTTTGAACAGAATATTTTTTCTTATTCTAATACGATGAAATGCATGCCTGGTATCACCCCTCAAAAAATGTAAATTATATTGTACTTCTCATTCTTATTAATCTAACAATCACCAATACAAACTGCTTCACTGTAAAGTAAAAAATAACAGTTTTGATTTTGCTGTCTCAGTAGTTTTGGAGAATACTCTACTTGTATTGCCAAGTCTTGTCAAAGGCTTCTCTGTTGAGGACAATTCTTTAAGTAGAGAGGCTCCAGCTGTGGACCTGAACAGCCAGTGTATACAGGATTTTGGTTTGGCTGGGCTTGTAATGACCTGACTCAGTTCATTATTTTCCTAATTGGACAAACCTCTTCCAACTCTTCAGGTGTTGGTACTTAAGGAGCAGCAGTTTCACTGGCTCTCCAAGACCAGGACTGGAGATTTCTGATTTGAAGTCAGGAATTAATCTTGTCTTTATTTGAACCTATTCCAGAGCCCAAATCTCCTTCTTCTTCTAACTCTGCAACCAACATCTTAAATCTATTGTTTAATTTCCTTGATTTCATTTTCACTCTTTCAGATTCAGCCTCTCCTACGGCTTACTAAGTTGTGAATACTGTTGGCATTTTTTTTTATTATGACTAATGCCATTTTATAAACAGTTTTTAAAATGATGAGGTCATTCTTATTGTTTGGTGCAGTATTGTAATTTCACAACACAACTGTAATTATTGTCAATGCAGTTACCATCATACAAAATACGTGGTATAGCCTTCATTTGTCCCACACACTGTACAACACAATACACAATTATATACCTATGCAACTGCCAGGTTCATTAAGCATCTAGTTAAATATAATGTTCTGTCACCAGTTATTTTACAGACAATTTTAACTCTGCTTAGGAGGCAAAAAATAACAAAAGCTGCTATTATAGTGCATGTTTTACTTTTGCTGTTTTGCTGAGAGAATATACTTTCATGCTTACTGTATTATCATCAAATATCATATTACAAATTATCCATATAGTAATTTATTTTTTGTCTCGTTGTGTTTGAGAGATATATGAAAGTTCTTTCTTGGCATTATGAATTCAAGAATGATTACTAAATTAATTCCAGTTGGCATTACTATATATATGTGTGTGTGTGTGTTTAAATCAGTCCTCTTTCAAAAATGCGTGCTCTTCTTAAGGCATTGAAGGGAATCATGTAATATCTTCTTTGTCTTCATTTGTATAATTATTCGGGAGAATTCCCCAGAGAAACAAAACGGTGTTGTGGAAAATCGTGCCAGGTACATTTGAAAAACATCGTGTTTAGACATGTATGGTTAAGCCTGGTTTGTCATAATATGAAAAATAGAATCAACATATATAATTTAAGATTTGTATTGCTTGCGCACATTATCATATTTTCTTTGTGTAGACTGATTTCATGACAGTGTTATTGGTAATTTACTGTAGGATTTTAAAATGATATTTTTACTATTTAATCTATTTCTATTGCCGTCTAATAATGTAAACGTAAATGATAAAGTAAACCATTTACTCTTAACAATGGAATGAACCGACTTTATTTGTATTTAGTAGTTTATTAAATTAGGTTGTTGGTTTTTAACACATTATATCAAAACACAGGGGAGCTAGTTAAAGAGTTAATACTACTTGTCAACTGATGTTTATACGGTTCTGAATTCTTTTGGAAAAAATACATTCAACTTTTTTTTTTAAAGAGAACATTTCAGGTCATTGAAGCTTGGCTTCAGCGATACTATCAGGTAAGGTAAGTTCTTGTACAGAACGATCTGACAACTCTGACTTGGACCTTTCTAAAGCGGGGTGGGGGTGGGGGTATTTAATGTGGGATTATATTATATAAAATGTGACGAATAAAGTTATTATCGTTGGTGTTTATAATCTGGTTTATGACAATGTATTTAGATAAAAGATCCAATAATAACAACAAATCAAGTTATCAAAAATATTTTTTATAGTTGTTTCAATATCCCATTTAATTTAGACATTAGTGGGGCTTGAAGGTTAAGTGGAAAACCAGAAAAGGGCCGCCACCACTTTCTGAGAGTACATTGTTCCAAAAAATTGGTTTTTCGTTATAAAGCAAAGATTCCGAAGTCGGCCGCTGTGACCAAAGCCTATATATATACAGTATTTGGTTTACCTTCTTATCATGGTTAACAAAATTTAAATGAAGGATATCAGATTAAGGTACCAGTCTAAAGCCTCTATTAACACATGTTAATAAAACACTGAAGGAATTTATATACAGTACCTAAAGGAATACGTTTTGTTTCACTGTCTCATTTACTTAAAATAATATTCAGCAGGTCCTGAATTAAACCTTATATTGACGGCTCAAGTGACCCTTTGTGAATTTCACATTTGAGATTTCTTAGCAACTGATTCAGTCTATGCTTTTAACAATTTTAACTTAGTTTCAAAACAAATTGCATTTTTGCTTTAGACAGTTTATGTGATGCACACATATTTTAACGTATATTTGCAAATGTAATTTGTTCTACTGTAGTCATTGTAACCGTATGTATTAAAAGAATATCATCTGCATTGAGACAGCTCAATGTTACATAAAACTCTTCCCTTGTAACCGACTGACCACCGCTATGGGGTTTTTGAAGACGTTAACCAGCGGTGAGGGAGAATTCTGCTTCTGCCCTGAAAACTTTCGTCGAGTTTAAGTCTGTAATATTACTATTAAGACTCCTAAAACCGCACACCTCCCACCTACTGAATTATTTCGAGTTGGGGGGCGCTCGAGTCTCAGGCTTCGCGTCTTTTTAAAGAGTCGGTAGCCCCTCTGAGCGTCACCCCCAGGCGGAAGTGGTTGTGATTTTTTTTCCACGTTTCTTTTGACTTGCGCACTGCCTACGAGGGTGTAGTCTTGTTCGCTGCCCCTTTTTTTTCCTTCCCTGCAAACTTTTTTTTTTCCATGGCGCTGGCCGCATCTAACAAGTTCTGAGTTTCAGACTTCGGAAGCGAGAAGAGAGGGAGGGAAGGAAATTGCAGGAGCCGGAGAAGGAACAAAATCCAAGGGTTGTCTCGGTTTTTAGGTTTTTTTAAAAGAAAAGTTTGCAACTGCGAAAGGTTGCGGGCTTTTAACATTTTTTATAGCCTTTTGCTATTTTTTTTTCCTCAGAATTTCAAAATGCATTGGTTTACTAAAGTTTTAACTATATTGACTTGCTTGGCTACGTGCAGCAACGGTGCAATGGATGAATGTACTGACGACTTGAACCGTCCCCAGCGCTGTATGCCGGAGTTTGTTAATGCAGCTTTCAATGTTACTGTTGTGGCCACCAACACTTGCGGTTCTCCACCCGAAGAATACTGCGTGCAAACCGGGGTGACGGGAGTCACCAAGTCCTGCCATATCTGCGATGCCAGGGACCCCAGGGTATATCACGGCGCTGTCTACCTCACCGACTACAACAACCAGGCGGACACTACCTGGTGGCAAAGCCAGACAATGTTAGCTGGCATCCAGTATCCCAACACAATTAACCTAACCCTTCATCTTGGTAAGAACCGCCGTTGTGTTCCTGTGTTAGAGAGCTTCGGAACATCAGATTACCTGTAGAATTGCAAATCAATGATCTAACATTTAGTATGAGTTTAATTTGAGTTCCACCTCCTCCACCATCTCCAGGAAATCCGTGTTTCCCACTACAGAAACAAATCAAGGCGACTCGACACTTTTTTTTAAAGTGTCATCTCGATGAAGCTGCCCTGTTCGTCGAGTGTTTCCCTTGGGTGATTTTTTATATTTGTATAAAAATATATTTTTTTTAATTTGTAATGTTGAATCGAGAGATTTGTTTTTGTTTTTGGAAGTTGCTACATGCATTTCGCGCAGTGAATGCTATTGTAACGTGTTAACAAATATAATTTACCCCCATGAGATGTATGCAAAGATCAAAAAGCTGTCGGATCCGCTTCAAAAGGACCCTAGAGCTCATGGTACGTTTCTTGGAGTTGAATTACAGTCAGTTGGACCACTGGTATTATAAAAACACAAGGAAATTCAGTTTTTATCCCCGTCCCTCAAAAGTACACTTAAGGCCAAAAAAGTGATTCTCCAAAGCTTTTATCAGATGAAAGATCCTGCGCATTTCTCTTTGAGGACGGGATAGATCTCGGATCTAGGTTTATCTCTTTTTTTTTTTTTGCTGCGTGAATCCTACAGACTCCAGAACTCAAGGAGAGTCATTAAACAAAACAGTAAAATGAAATTTAACCACAGTGTAGTTAATATTTTTCTGCCTCGTAGTCCATGCACTTTTCTCCCACCGTTTACTCAACGCTAGTGATTAAAACGTGTTAATCGTAGCAAACTTCGGTATTAGGTGCTGGATATGAGCGAAGTTTGTTAAAATAACCCAGTTGAGTCTAAGTTGTAGTGAAATTAATCCGGTCTCTTCAGTAAAGTTCTCTCTGGCTGAGTTTTGTATTCGCGTCCACTCTGCACTTTTTGAGTGCTAATATATTTTAACTGCCTTTTTTTTTTGGTATTTCAAATATCTTTCAAATATAACATTTCTGCCTCCTTTAAAAAGGTTTCCATCTGCCGGAACTTCGCGTTTGATTTGTCCTTTTTGTTGACTAGATATGCAATTTCTGTCTGAAGAAGGCAGTTCTGTACATGCACAGTATTTCAAAATGAAGTTTAGAAAAAGCGCTCAGGATTGTGTCACAGTTTCCAAAGTGATTTTTAGAACTCTCTTTTTATTTTCTTGCTTGCATTTTATAAATGAGCTAGAAGTCTTAGCGTTCTTTTGAACAGTAATGTATACCTTTTTTGTACCAATTTCTAGAGATTGCAGATTAGTAATCAAATCCAGATCCTCTGTACTCAACTGTCTGGGACTGCTGCTGCATAGTTCAGTAATTTGGTTTTCTCTGGTATTTGGACGTGCCCTGGGGGAATGAGTTTTAATCAGATTTGCAAAGGCATTATTTACTTTTTGCGAGTTGAAACATGACGTTTGGAGCTCATTGCCATGATTCGGATAGCCATATCTTAGATGTGCTTAATATTGTTTTGTGTTTTCAATACCGATTTGTGTATTTTTACACATTTTCCATTAGATAAGTTAAATAAATTACCAAAATGGCGCCCTGAGTCAAAACAAGCCTAAACGCTATTTACGGCAATATCACCTGGTTGGCACAACGAAATGTGTGGGGAGAAATGCAACAGGATTTTTTTAAAAATCTTGTATTTATTTATATCGAAAATACTTAAGATATAAAGTCAGACAACTGGGTAAATTCCTTGTGCATTCCAGGGCTTTATTTTACCAAATCTTATCTGGATACAAAGTTGTTATATGTAATTTGCAGTAGACTGTCTTTTTCAGTTTAACTGTTGTAACTGAGGTCACTTTTTTACTCCATTTTTAATTGATCACTTGGTACTTATGGTGATCTTTAATCGACAAAGTTATGAATGGGTGTTGAATTGCATCAATGAAGCTGGGTGTATTTTTGGTCTTAGTCGTAGTTAGCCAATCAGAAACCTGCAATACACCCAGGCATGATAACTAGCAAGCCGTCTTACGTTTGTGATACGGTGTGATGCTTTGTTTTTGTCTAGTAACGTTAGAAAAGAACAACTGTTAATGGATATATATGCTGCATGGGGAAAAAAGGTAATAGCACCATAGTCGTGTAGCCTGCATTTTAAAATGTGGATACTTTTTAACCAACGTTTGTCCTAATGATTAAACTGACTAGCGACCCATAAATGTTACTGTTTTCACTTGTTGCTGTAGTCACACTGTATTCTTTGGAGACAATGTTGTGCAGTAAAAATCAAAATTAAACTTTCTGGAACAGATTTTCTCTACTTTGAACTACTGTATCAGAAGAGTTAATATCGTGTGATGTGTTGATTTCTAATTTATGCTAGATACATCTGATAAAGTCACAGCATTTCGCTTTATTAAATGATCTTCTTATGCTTGTCATGGGCCTTTGTAATGGTATCACACAGATAGAAGGTAGTAATATTAATACCACCCTCCTAAAACATTTGACAAATTACAGTCCAAAACTTAATGTTGTCCAGATGGTATGTTTGCAGTATTGTTCTTCAAAGGTTTGACCCATTGCTAAAAGGGCTTACAAGTTCATTTGTTTAAACCATTTAAAAATAAATCGTTTTTATTCTTGTTGGGATGTTATTAGAATATTGCTGTACCTAAATACGTTTAATTACCACTGCAGCTCTATTCGTAGATCTCCATTTTATATCATATAACTGCATTAGTTTTCCCTGACTTTAAAGTGTAATTTGTTCTTGGGAATGTTTTGTTCTGTGGTACAGAGTAATTCTTTCCTGCATGGGCTCCTATTATTCTAAACAGCTGGTATTGGTTAAGACCATTGTAAAATGTGGGTTAAGTGCAGCCCACAGTGGTTGGTTGATGCTATACTGTGATGTGCCATGTGAGAACAGTGCTCTGTGTAAGTATAACTGTTATTTGATGTTGTGGTTATACAGTATGTAACATGGTTGCACAGTTGTCTTTTTTATTTTATGGATTTTAAAGTTATGTGCTGCTCTGCAGCGACATATAACTCCTGTCCTTTTTAAAATGCACTTGATCCCTGTCAAATTTAGAACCTTATGGTTTTTTATTCTCACGCAAGGAACACCAAGCAGTTTATATCCAGATTATTTTAAGGGTTTATTGCTGGAGTAAAGTCCAGCTCCTAATCCGAGATCTGCTGATTCAGGCTTCCTTACTCTGCCAAAGACCAATATCCACACAATGGCTGTTGGATCTTTCTCTTGTGCAGCTTCACAAGTTTGTGGAGCTCATTGCTCAACAGCGTTAGGCTCTCCAAATTCTGAGGTTTCAAGATCTAGCTTAATAACTCCATATTTTAATTTTAGCTTTAAATATATAACTTAAGTTCTACTCCTGGTTTTATTTGAGTCACTTTGTCATTTCCATCTTGCGGCATTGTTCGGTTATGCATATTATAAATATGCAATGTGTATTATGCTTGTTTTTGTCTGCTGCTTTGTGTTTTATGAAAAGTCCATATGCCTTTTGTAGCCTAAACTATCTGCTATGGGACAGTCGGTCTATGGGTCCCTAGTGTGCAGTTGGTAAAGAATTGTCCTCCCTTAACCATTGTAGCCAGCAGTTTAGCCTCAATTTTAGATTGTTTTGCTAAATTGTCATGATTGCTATTTATGATTTTTTTTGTACAATGCTGAAAGTAATGTCTTGAATGTTAAGTAGTTTAGTTACTTCAATTAGAAGAATTATTGAATCCAGTGAGTGAGATTTTTCTCTGCGAAGACCTTAAAATGTTTAATAGTTTAAAGCTAAGAAGTGGAATGTTGCTTACCAATGTTTTTTTTAATCATTGTGTAATCTTATGACTTTTGATTAATGGTAGAATCTAGATCTGGTGTCTATTGGAACACCAGTGTCCTCATTCTTATGTCTTGTTGTTGATTATAATGATGATATTTTAGGTTCCATTTTTATATATAGCTGCCTATATTTGGTGGTGTTCGACACCACCATGACATTCAAGTTAAATCAACCTTTGGCGTAAAAACAGAGCTGATGTTCACATCATAGCTCGGTGGGAGAATGTTCACGTGCTTATCCTATTATATCTCTGAGATGTTTTTTTTTTTTAGAAATTAAAAACTGTCACCAAGGATGTCCCTCCCATGAGTGTTTGAATTTTAGTGTTTCAATGTCATGCTCACGGGATTGTGATGAGTGTGTCTTTGTGACGCTGGTGTACAGGCCTAGTAAGCAATCGAGGTTACCCAAGCCATTTGTTTGTGTTACCGCTCTATTCCTGTTACAGTGGTATGACAAGGTGTGCAAGAGAAGATCGCAGGGCTAAAAGCAACAGGGGTTGGGTGCCGCATGTGGGATTGCTTGTGCTCGTTTTCTGTTAATGCTCTGCAAGCATGAGTTCACTGATTAAATTGTTCGCATTACGCGAGTCATTGAATTTCTGCTTCCTAAGCAAATTGATATTGTGGAGGAGGTGACGCGGGGAGTGGGGAAAGAATATTGCAGCAGCCAGTCTGCCCCAGTCAGCAGCTCTCGCGCCACAATGGAGCAGAGTCGCAACGACGCGTCCTCGCGCGCCCCCTCGCCCGCCTCAGACCCCCCCCCGAAGGGACGTGAACTTGTCGGTTTGAAGAGAATTCGCCGACAACCCCCCACTCCCACCCCACCACTGCGCTTTTGCTTTGACAGTGACATCAAAAAGCTTCCTTGGAAATGAATGGGAGGTGATGTAGGAGGTGTGAAAAGATCACTGTAATTTGGGGTAAATCACTGATGCTGACAGCATTAAGGGGGACATGCATGTGTGCGAATAGAATTAAAGGTGTCGGTGTTTGATCTTTTAATAATCTGATGCAGTTGGTGTAAAAGCCTTATGTCTATGGTTCGCTTTGCAAAAGGCCTAATCTGTACTTCTAATAAGCGTATGTGATGCACACTCTTCAGGTAGATATTATATAAAGTAGTTC